CGTACAAGGTATACAAGTACACGTACAAGGTATACAAGTACACGTACAAGGTATACAAGTACACGTACAAGGTATACAAGTACATGTACAAGGTATACAAGTACATGTACAAGGTATACAAGTACATGTACACGGTATACAAGTACATGTACAAGGTATACCAGTACATGTACAAGGTATACCAGTACATGTACAAGGTATACAAGTACATGTACAAGGTATACAAGTACATGTACAAGGTATACAAGTACATGTACAAGGTATACCAGTACACGTACAAGGTATACCAGTACACGTACAAGGTATACCAGTACACGTACAAGGTATACCAGTACACGTACAAGGTATACCAGTACATGTACAAGGTATACAAGTACATGTACAAGGTATACAAGTGCATGTACAAGGTATACAAGTACATGTACAAGGTATACAAGCACATGTACAAGGTATACAAGTACATGTACAAGGTATACCAGTACATGTACAAGGTATACAAGTGCATATACAAGGTATACAAGTACATGTACAAGGTATACAAGTACATGTACAAGGTATACAAGTGCATGTACAAGGTATACAAGTACATGTACAAGGTATACCAGTACATGTACAAGGTATACAAGTACATGTACAAGATATACAAGTACATGTACAAGGTATACCAGTACATGTACAAGGTATACCAGTACATGTACAAGGTATACCAGTACATGTACAAGGTATACAGACCATAGCTGACATCAGTGACATACTACTACAGTGGAGTCCTGGATTTCATACTTAATCCATACCAGAAAGTCGGTCTAAATCCGAAGTGTATGAGAACTGAAGCAACATTCCCCAGAAATAATAATGCAAATACAATAATCCGTCCCAGACACCTAAAAATATTAACAAAAAACACATTTTTTTAAAGAATAAATATATAGTTTTCTTTCCATAAACAATGAGAAATAAATATAGAGGACTAATTTTAATGATAAATGAACATTAAATACATTTATTGAAGACTCTTGTTGGCGTATTGAAGAAAGTGAGGAGGGGAGCGGGAGCTGAACTATTGTACAACTTAAACTATGATATGACTCACGAAATCTTAATGACGATTGCAAACAAACCATACCCCGGGGGGGACTGAACCCGCGGTCAGAGAGTCTCAAAACTCCAGCCCGTCGTGTTAGCCACTAGACCAGCTAGCCACAATAAGATTCGTCCAACTAGGTATATTTCTACACCATAGGAAGGTTAGCATAGGCACCACTGTGACCACAAATGCAAGTAGAAATATACCTAGTTGGATGAATCTTATTGTGGCTAGCTGGTCCAGTGGCTAACGCAACGGTCTGGAGTTTTGAGACTCTCTGACCGCGGGTTCAGTCCCCCCGGGGTATGGTTTTTTTAAACTACGATAAATTTCTTGAGTATTAAGTAGTCAGTAAGCAATTAAATTAAGTCTGCCCATAATGCCTAGGCATGATGGAAGCTGTCTTTGTACTGCAACTCATTATTGTAAATACATAATCCCAATCTACTACTTGCAAAGAAATAAAATTTGATTTGATTTAATTGTTTGGAAGGGGAATCCCCCTCCATAAGGACTTCAGGTATCAAAGTCATCTCTGGGGTTACTTCCCTTCTTTGTCTTTTACTGGCACTAGACCCCTGTAGCATTAAAAATCTGTCCAGAGAGCTCTGTTTCTGGCATCTCTCTAAGATTTGCCTAAATTGGGACATGACATTGTCACTGAACATGTTGCAGATATGGTTTGTTTCAGCTTGGTTAGGGTGATATTTTCAACAAAAGTTTGCACCTCATTCCACTTTGCACAAGTGTCCTTAATCACTGAAGAAGGCACAGTCTCCCCTCTCTCTTCCTCGTCCTCTGAAGCAATTTCCTCAACTGTGGTCTGTTGCTGCTCCAGATGAAGCTCTTGCAGCACTTCCCTGTGGTCCTTCACCAACTCTTCCACATCGTGGTCACTCACATCCAACCCCATGGACTTCCCCAAAGACACAATAGATTCCACAACAGGCATAGAGTTGACAGGGTCAGCCTCAAACCCTTCAAAATCTTTATTGAGGACACATTCTGGCCACAATTTTCTCCAAGCAGAGTTCAAAGTCCTGGAAGTTACTTCCTGCCAAGACTTATAAGGCTTATGCAATGGAAGATATTGAAGTGATCCCTCCAGAACTCTCTTAGGGTCAAATGAGCATCCAAGGTCACTTAAAAGCACCTTTGAAACACTGCTTTGGTATAGAGTTTCTTGAAGTTAGAAATGACCTGCTGGTCCATGGGTTGGATAAGAGGAGTGGTGTTAGTAGGCAAGAACTTCACTGTTATAAAACTGAAGTCCCTAAACACTTGGTCTTCCAAGTCTGGAGGATGAGCAGGAGCATTGTCCAGTACCAGGAGGCACTTGAGTGCCAATTTCTTTTCCAAGAGATATTTTTTCACATTTGTGCCAAACACACAAGTGACCCACTCTTTGAAAATGTGCCTTGTGACCCATACCTTATTATTAGCCTTCCACATCACACACAATCTATTCTTGATGACATTGTTTTTCTTGGACACTGGAATTTTCAGAGTGAAATCCCCACTAGCATTACCACACAAGAGTAAGCCTGTCTTTCATAGGCTTGTGGCCTGGTAGTGCCTTTTCCTCTTGCATAATGTAGGTTTTCTCTGGCATTTTCTTCCAAAACAGGCTTGTTTTGTCACAAGTGAACACTTGGGATGGATTGTAAGGACCTGCCTAGTATGGGCCAACAGGCCTGCTGCAGTGATCCTCCTTTCTTATGTTCTTATGTTGTTGGGGGTGGAATCCTTCAGCCTTTACGTACCCCTTGAATTCCTACACAAATTCCTCGGCCGCACGTTTGTACGAACTTGCAGCCTCACCACACTGTGTATGCCACGATGCTTCTTGAACCTGCTGAACCAGCCTCTGGCCTTAAATTCACTAACAGCAGCACTCGTTCCAGGCATTTTCTTTACGACATCCGCATGCAACTGCCTTGCCTTTTCACAAGTGATCAACTCCACAACACTATCTGCCGCTGTGTCTCGTCGATCAATACCAACAACAACTTCTCCACATCTTCAATTGTTTGTAATCTCTGTTTTGTTAGCATATTTACCCCTTTCGCAACTTTAGCTTCCTCGATTTCTTTCTTTGCCAGGATGGAAAAGGGTGTTGATTTTAACTTCCCGTACATCCTGGCAAGCTCGGCTAAACGTACGCCACTTTCGCATTTTTCTACAATCTCTTTCTTGAATTCTATCGTGTTTTTGACCTTCTTTACCAAAGGGCCGGCACTAGAAACTTTCTTTGGACCCGTGGTGGCAGTCGCAATCAATAAACAAGCACAAAAATTGCGAAATGTTTCGGATGAATGCTCAGGCGACCACTGACAGAGCCAGACTGAGGCGGCATCCCGGGCGGGTGGACGTGTCTGATACGTACGATTTCCGGGCGAAGATACAAACTCCGAAGCTAAATTCTGCCCAATAAAGTGTTATAAATCCGAAACGTACAATATATGGTGCGTACGAAATCCAGAGTTCCACCGTATATAATTTATCTTAAATTGAAATGAATATAGTTTTGCTACAGTGACTATCTATCTAGATATCCATCTATTTGTCCATCTATCTATCTAGCCATCTATCCATCTATAGGAGTAAACTACACAAATATGAAATTCAAATGAATATACTCTACCTTGACTATCTATCACATCTATCTATCCATACAATTATCTATCTATCCATCCATCTATCAGGGTAAACCACACAAATATGAAGTTCATTTTAAATTCAAATAATTATACTCTGTCTACCTTGACTATCACATCTATCTGTCTACTTATCTATCCATTCATCCAATTATCTATCTATCTATCAGGGTAAACTACGCAAATATGAAGTCCATCTTAAATTGAAATTAATATAATCTATCTTGACTATCTATCTGCACATCTATCTATCCACACATCTATCTATCCCACATCTATCTATCCCACATCTATGTATCCACACATCTATCTATCCCACATCTATCTATCCCACATCTATCTATTCACACATCTATCTATCCCCACATCTATCTACCCACACATCTATCTACCCACACATCTATCTATCTCCACATCTATCTACCCACACATCTATCTATCCCCACATCTATCTTCTCACACATCTATCTATCCATCTATCTATCTAAAGTCTATTATTATTATTATGGTCAGAGCGCGCGCGCGCGCCCCCAGCCACAACAAGGGAGGTTTAAGGTAGTTTTAAGTGGGTCTGGGTGGGTATGCGGGTAGGTGCGGGGCACGGAGGGTACTGGAGGACGGGTACTCACCTACAACTCGCTGCTCAGTTACCTGCTGCTCATAATAATAATAATATTTGCTGTAAATGTGACGTTGAGGTTAATGGCTACATGTGCGCCCCCGAGTTGCCAGTCACTTGGCGGGGGGTTTAGGGCATGGTGGGGGGCTTGAGGGGGCACCGCACGACGCACCGTGTCCAGGGGTTGCCGTCTAAGGGGCGCTAAGGGTGTATAATGGGTGAAAATGGGGTTAAAATAAGGGTTGTTGTTGGTGGCTGCTGTTGACCAGCTGATGAGCCGCGCCACTCCCGCGATCGATCCCCCCTCCGCCAGGCGAACTAGATCCCCGGGACCCAACACACACCTTCTGCCCCTTCATACCCATCTATACCCACCCATACATACCCGTGCTGCTTATCTATACCATCTCGTACCCATAAATACCCCTGATTTGCCGTTTATCCCCCTAAAAATGGTATTTTTTCTAAAATAACGCTATAAATGACTAAACCTTCTACTCCCCAGTTTGAACTTTAATAATTTATAGGGGGATTCCGAGCAAACAAAATCTCTTAAAAAGAATCAAATTCTAAATTTAAAGTATCAAACACCTTCTAAAATAGCATTTGATCCTATTACATTCGTCATTATTAACTATTTAATCTCTTATAGTTTAGATCATAGCTCTGAGGATCAGCTGATACACTTAATGACAAGACTGGACCTCCCCGTATTTAACCGTATTTAACCGTATTTTAACATCATCATCGCCGGGTGCACAGGTGGGGCAGCTCCGCCGTGTTATTTACCGCATCATGTCTTAATGTGGAGGTTTTCTGGCGCTTATTACTGGTGGTTTGAGGGTTTTATGTGAGGCTGCGGTCACCTTCCTTATGGTTGTTAATGTGCCAGTATTTGTGGGTTAAATTATGTTAATATTAACATTATGACGGTTATATTAACATTATGACAGTTATATTAACATTCTGACAGTTATATTAACATTATGACAGTTATATTAACATTATGACAGTTATATTAACATTATGACAGTTATATTAACATTATGACAGTTATATTAACATTATGACAGTTATATTAACATTATGACAGTTATATTAACATTATGATTGTTATATTAACATTCTGATAGTTATATTAACATTATGATTGTTATATTAACATTCTGATAGTTATATTAACATTATGACAGTTATATTAACATTATGACAGTTATATTAACATTTTGACAGTTATATTAACATTTTGACAGTTATATTAACATGACAGTTATATTAACATTATGACAGTTATATTAACATTATGACAGTTATATTAACATTATGACAGTTATATTAACATTATGACAGTTATATTAACATTATGACGTTATATTAACATTATGACAGTTATATTAACATTATGACAGTTATATTAACATTATGACAGTTATATTAACATTATGACAGTTATATTAACATTGACAGTTATATTAACATTATGACAGTTATATTAACATTATGACAGTTATATTAACATTATGACAGTTATATTAACATTAGTTATTTTTATTCTTATGACATTATATTAACATTTGATAGTTATAAATTAACATTATGATTGTTATATTAACATTCTGATAGTTATATTAACATTATGACAGTTATATTAACATTATGACAGTTATATTAACATTTTGACAGTTATATTAACATTTGACAGTTATATTAACATTATGACAGTTATATTAACATTCTGACAGTTATATTAACATCAAACAGTTATTTTAACATTCATTTACGTTAATATTCAGTTTTTCACTCACTATATATACTAGCAACTTGATTTCTTTATATTTTTGGCTCGCTGAACTTGCCAACATTTCTGTTTTTCTTTCACTGTATTTAACAACATTGTCCAGTTTCAGCTGTGATTGGTTGCCAGGGTTTCTTCTTGCCCTGGGGTCGGCAAACTTTTTTTGGCGTTTCATCAAAAGAAATTTGTGTAGCGGGAAATTGCCCACCGGACTTGAAAGTCCACCGAATCAGGAAAATGCATGAAACATTCAGATTCAAAATAGTTTATTGAATCCATTTGTATGGAATATATACAGTGGGACCCCACGTATCTGCAGGGTACAGGAAGTCCTCGACTTATGAAACGTTGAGAATCTCAGGTATTGTGTAATAATATTACAACCTCTCCTCACTTAACGACGAAGTTCCGTGCCTAAGACCACGTTGGTAAATGAATTCGTCGCTAAGTGAGGAACATACTATAATGGTAGTGGGTTTGTGTCAGTCATCTTTGATATTGTTTTAATGTCACCTTTGCACCATTTATAACATTTCTGGTATATTTTTAAATGTTTATACAGTAGTGTACTGTATACTGTAATAAACAGAATAGAGGAAATCAGCTCTAATATACATTATTTTAGGTATAAATGCTGGTCAGAGAGCCCGTCGTAAGTCCGAGGTGTCGGTAAACAAGTACGTCGCTAAGTGAGGAGAGGCTGTATTATTGGGTATATTATTATTATGTCATTATTATCCCCTCTAGGGAGGTTCCTTGATATTGGTGAGGGGTTCTTGATCCAGGAAATTGAATCTGCTCCAGTTTCTTGAATTGAGCCTGAATACCTTCCATATCCTCCCATAGGCACTGTATAATTGTACGGGTTTAGCGCTTCCCTCTTGATTATAATAATAATAATATCATTATTGTGTATAACATTATTATACACAATACAGAAATGCATTAAAGTTGGTAGAATTGCGAGCAGTATGTTAGGTAAAAGGACACAAGTGCAACTAATTTAACATTTTATTGTGGCAACGTTTTGCTCTCCAGCTTTATCAAGCCGTTACAAACAATATGCTGTTTGTTCATGTATTGTTTGTAATGGCTTGATAAAGCTCCTGGAGAGCCAAATGTTGCCACAATAAAATGTTAAATTAGTTGCACTTGTCCTTTTACCCAAGACTATACAGAAGGTCCCCAACATGTTCGTAAGTTGAAGACTTCCTGTACAGTCTCTCCTCACTTAGCGACATACTCGTTTACCAACAACTCAGACTTACGACGGGCTTTCTGACCAGTATTTATACCTGGCCTGGGTTCGATTCCCAGCCAGAGTAGAAACATTGGACGTGTTTCTTTCCACCTGTTGTCTATGTTCCCCATCAGTAAAATGGGTACCTGGGTGTTAGTCGACTGGTGTGGGTCGCATCCTGGGACACTGACCTAAGGAGGCCTGGTCACAGACCGGGCCGCGGGGGCGTTGACCCCCGGAACTCTCTCCAGATATTAGAGCTGATTTCCTCTATTTTGTTTATTACAATATACGTACAGTACACTAATGTATAAACATTTACAAGTACAGTTGTACCTCAAAACTCAAACAGCTATATAAGTTCTTTTGTAAGTGTATTTTTGGTGGCCTGAAATGGCTTAATCTAATTTACATTATTCCTTATGGGAACAAATTCGTTCAGTATCGGCACTCGAACAGCCTTCTGGAATGAATTAATTTTGTATCCCGTTGTACCACTGAATGCTAAAAAATTTTATAAATGGTGCAGTGGTGACATTAAAACAATACAGGTCTCCCTCAACATTCGCGTTTTCAGCTTTCGTGGGCTTCACACATTCGCGAATTCCCAACTGCCAAATTCCCAGCCATCAAATTCCCAGCCGCCAAATCATATTTAAGTTTCCCGCCACCTGCGAGTCCCTACTACCCTCCCTCCGACCCCCACAACTGGCAGCCAGCCCTCCCACCACTGTGGTGAGTGTTTTGTTTGTTCATTATTTACTATTTATTAAACTACAGTATAAATAATGTAAACCTATTCATGACTGCATATTGGAATGGCTATTCGGACAAGTATTAGACGGTGACATCATGTGTTTACTCTTGAACACTGCAAAGAATCAAACATTTCTGCTATTGCTAATAATAACAATAATAATAATAATAATAATAATAATATTAATAATAATAATAATAATAATAATAATAATAAATACGATATAATTGAAGAAGGAAATTGTACAAAAATACGAGGGAGTGGTTGACACATCGTCAGTGTGACTGTTTATGCTGGAGTGAACATTAGTCTCCGTGCTCTTCCAAACATTTCACAATAATTCAGCGGTTGAGGCAGTGGTATTTAATAACATACATATTAATAATAATAATACGTGTTATTAACCCTTTCAGGGTCCAAGGCCCAAATCTGGAGTCACGCACCAGTGTCCAAGAATTTTCAAAAAAAAAATTTGTTATTTTTTCTTATGAAATCGCAGAGAATCTTTTTGTGAAGGTAATAAAACAAAAAGTACGAAATTTGGTGGAAAATTGACGAAATTATGCTCTCGCGAATTTTGATGTGTCAGCGATATTTACGAATCGGCGATTTTGCCGACTTTGACTCCCATTTTAGGCCAATTACATTATTCCAATCAACCAAATTCTTAGCTATTTCACTAGTATTACTTCTATTCTATCGATTGAGCACAAGAAATCGCCAAGTCAACTGTTTCAACTACAAAATAAAGTGATCGGAAATTGTTAATTTGGCCAATTTAACACAAAGTTCAAAATATTCCAATTTCAAAATAGGGTCCAGAATGAACAATGTAGGCATTCCTGGCACTAAACTAACATTTCCTCTGTTCATTAGTTATGTTTTGAGGCTTTACAAATAAATTCCATTTTGATTTTTTATTCACATAATGAATTTTTATTCACACCAAAAAATAGAAGATTTACTGTTATGCAATACTGTAATAATTGTATAAATATCATCACCATATTTGTGAATATATATTAGACCCACCAGCTGGCGTGTATTAGACGTGTGAGGTCGTTTGTTTACTCTTGAATATCGGCAAAAATTTAACATTTCTGCTACTTTGAGCTCAGTTTCAAGCTATTTCCAGTGCTAAAACCAATCAAAATCATCTCTATTTCTGTAATATGTCTTCCATTCTATCAAATGAGACCAAGAAATCGCAAATACAACTATAAAAAACATACGAAAAAACACTGCAAAGTCGCTGTTTTAATCGAAAAATCATGATTTCATTTTTTTTCTCTCATTATACACAGTGTGCTGCAGAATCTGTTTTATGTGGTGCACACATACCACATAGATGTATTCTCTCATATCTAGGCCCAAATGTACCACTCACAGTTTATCAGAGTGAGCTGAGCTCATGGCGTAGATCTACGGTTTGGACCCTGAACGTAAAGCCGTAGATCTACGGGACGGACCCTGAAAGGGTTAATAATAACATGTACTATTATTATTTATAGCATATATGTTATTAAATACCACTGCCTCAACCGCTGAATTATTGTGAAATGTTTGGAAGAGCACGGAGACTAATGCTTATTCCAGCATAAACAAAGTCACACTGACGATGTGTCAACCACTCCCTCGTATTTTTGTACAATTTCCTTCTTCAATTATATTGTATTTATTATTATTATTATTATTATTATTATTATTATTATTATTATTATTATTATTATTATTATTATTATTATTGTTGTTGTTGTTATTATTAGCAATAGCAGAAATGTTTGATTCTTTGCAGTGTTCAAGAGTAAACACATGATGTCACCGTCTAATACTTGTCCGAATAGCCATTCCAATATGCAGTCATGAATAGGTTTACATTATTTATACTGTAGTTTAATAGCAAATAATGAACAAACAAAACACTCACCACACTGAGTGGTGGGAGGGCTGGCTGCCAGTTGTGGGGGTCG